TCGAACATTCGGTGATGGGTCAACCAGCTTACTCTTCCAGTTGTTTTAGACGAAAACCGTCGATTACTCGACATAACAATACTATCACTTCAACAAAGAAAGATATTGTTTATCAGATGAAAACAGGGGGAAGTAGAAGAACAAAGAAAAAGGGAAAACTAGACATCGAGGTAAGTCTTAAGATATTGTCAAATTCAAAATGCTTTATAATCATTGAGAGCTGTTTATATGAATTGTTGGAGATAAGTGTTATCTGTAAAGATTTATTCCCTGTAATTTAGGTCTGGAAAGGGCTGCCATGTGAATGCGATGGTCAGTCTGTAGTGATGGTGTAAACAGAATTTGATATTGATTTCTATGTCGAGTAATTGTTGTTCCATGCATTTTTTCTGTCGTTGATTCAATTCGTCTATCATTTTGATTACTTGGATAAATAGAGAGCTGAAACATAATCTTACGAGATAAAAATTCAAGAGAAAGTAGATAATCCACCGTCCCAATGAAGTAGAGAATCATGTCAAGATTAACGATTACCAAAGAAGGTGGTACTTAATCCACCGTCCCAAGAAAACTTCAAATTTAAATGGTCACGATTGGAGTTGTATCTAAGATGGTCAAGCATGAAAACTTATTTATCAAGGTATTTGAGGGGTTTTTGCCAACATAATTGACACCAGATGAACTGAGATCGACATAACCTCAGTGCAAATGAGAGGGTTTTTTTTTCTGTTTCCTAAAGACCTTGTACGACTACTAGAGCCACGAAGTCGATATAGGGTACATTTGGTGGGTCATGGTTTAGGCCTATTAAAAACCATTACATTTTAAGCATAAACACAGTGATATTTAGTAACTCAACTTCTGAAACTCTAATTTAAACCCTTTGACACACAATCTTCACACCGTTTGAAGGCCCCACAATCATTCTAAAAGAAGGAGAATGACGATACTCAAGAGACAACGAGAATCTAAACTTAGAAACTATAAGAGAAATTATGATTTTTAACTCAACCAATGCAAAGTTCTTCCCTAAGCACAATCGATGACCTGCTCCAAATGGCATGTAGAGTTGTGGGACCTTGCAGGCCTTGGCTATACCGTCTGCAAACCGTTCTGGCTTGAACTCATTCGCATCTTCTCCCCATATTTCAATTTCTCTGTGTAGTGTCGGTATCAAAGTCCATATACAGACACCCTTTGGAATGATCACGTTCCCAAGTCGTACCTCATCAAGTGTCTCCCTTGCTACAAATGCGCCCGGCGGGTACAGCCGCAACGTTTCTTGAACCACCAAACTCACCTATACACATCGATCATTTCAGACACAAGGGAGAATATGTTTGGTTGTTAAAGAGAGACAGTTCACCGATTTAAGTTGAGAAATCGCCGTCATGTCAAAGCGACCATCGGGGCAAGTGTGAGCAAACTCAGAGCGAATACGGTCTTGCCAATCGGGATGGAGGGCGAGGAGCATCAAGGACCAGGCGGCGGTGACGGCGGTGGTATCATGGCCGACGAAATACATGGTCTTGCAGTTGTCAATGATGAAGTTTTTGGAGGATTGTTTGGCTCGTAAACTTGAGTCAGTCATGGCGGCCTCCATTATCAGCTGCAACAGATCCTTGTCGGACGAGGAGGTTTTGGAGCACTGTTCTTGGCGCTGTTGAACTGTCTCCCATATTGATGAGTTGATCTCCTTTTCCAGCTTTTTGATTCTTCTGTGTTGGCTTGGTTTAAAAAATTTCTCACTGTTCATCATTTCTACGTTTTTCAGACAATGCTGTGGGCTTATAAAAAAAAATAATAATAAAAAATAAATAAATTTAAGGCTATTAATGCTACTTTTGAAAGTTGATGGATATCTTGAAAAAGTGACTCTATGTTTTCGTACGTATATTAATGATAAGGGTATTCTTTAACTTTTAAGAAATGTTTAAAGGTGTCAATAACAATAATGATATCAAACGAACCTTAAAGAAATAGAACTAACTAGAAAGTTCTCCCCGCAAAGCAACTTCTGAAGATCCGTAATCTTCGTGAAAATCTCCTTACCCTTCTCATACGAGCTCCCAAAGCAAGCTCTAGATATCACGTCGGCCGAGTATTCTTTGAGATCCTCATCCACTTCAATCTCCACCATGGATCCATCTCCGATCCTTGCCTCCCATTTCTCTATCAAGGACGACCCCGCCTCAGCCATCAGTGCCACCATGCCTCGGACCCGATCCATGAAGAACTCGGGAGCGATGATCTTGTGCTGCAGCGCCCAAAAGGAGCCATTGGAGACGATGATGCTGTGGCCAAGGATGGGAGCGAACTTTTTTTTGACGTCCAAGGGCTTGCCCAAGTTGAGATTGTTGGAGAGTTTCAAGTCCTTCACTAGCTCCACCTTGTTGGCATACAAATGCTGCTTCGTTCCGGTCGAGTATGTGTATAATGTACCTGCCAAACAAAAAAAAATTCAAGCCTACCACTAGCAAATATTATCAGCTTCGGCCCCCCGTTATGCATAGACGTTAACGTCACAATTTCTAAAACGCGTTTGCTAGAGAGAAATTTTCACACCCTTATAAGAAATGAAGGTCGAAATTAGTAGAGGTGTTCAAAAAAACTCGAGAACCTGAAAAGTTCAATCAACCCAATTCAACCCGTATAATTATGAACTTATTTAAGATGAGTTGAATAAATGAAAATTTTATATTCGAATTTTCCAATTTGAATATATTGTTAATTTTAAAAAGTACATCTTTACTTGCGTCAAAAACTTGATCCAACTTAACCTCAATCGGAGTGGGTATTAGCCAAATACCGTATTGCTTCCTCCACTTAACGAAATAAGGGAAGACGGTGGATGTATAATCATGAGCCACAATCGCCGACGCATGACACGGCGGAGAAGCCATGGCTGCCGCCTCCAACTGGATCTTCTTCATCTCCGGCAAGTTACCAAACAGAGCCGACGGTGGCGGACCCATCACGCCCTGTTCTCCCAGCTTCCTCCTCAGCTCCGCCGCCTTCCTCCATGCACTATAGAAGTACAAATGGAACACCACCGCCACCGCCACCACCGCAATCGCGGCCGGAAAAACAGGCACGAAACCACTTATTACAACCCCCTCCATCGCAATCCAAAACTTAACCTTTCTTATGATCTTCCCTCTTTTAATCTTCTGGGTATTATATAGAAGGGGAAAAAAAAACGTAATAGACAAAAGATTTATCAGATGAACACGATTCTCCACAATAAATATGATATTGTCCACCTTAAACATAGACTCTCGTGTTTTTGCTTTGTACTTCCCAAAATGCCTCATTCAAGATAGAGTTCATTGATTATAAATTCAGAAAATAACATAACATTCTAAAAAAAAATTAATGAAACATTAAAAAATGTCACAAATATAAATATACCATAAAATAATAAATATCCATAAAATTGAGACATCCCCATTTTCATTCATATTAATATATATATATTTTTTATTTCTTAAAGCAACTAATTCATTTTAATTTAGAATTTTAAAGTAAAATATCGAATGGATAAACAATAAAAACTTTTTGAGTGCCCATTTTACGTGTTGATATCTATAACACGTTGGATTAATTAATATTAATGATATTTTAAGTCGGTGATTAAATAAACTTCCTCTTTTTAATAGCTAATTATTTAGGCTAATTATCTTTTATTAGTATTTTTCTTTTTTTAAAAAAAGTTCATGGTTATATTTGTTTTTGTGAGTGATATCTGGTTGATTCTTTCACTGTTTTTATGGAAAGAAAAAGGGTTTTTTCCCTTAGTATATTGGCATACACAATGGAAGATTCCATCAGATAAATAGCTGTTATAAGTAAGAGTTTACGGGTTTAGAAGTTCTAATTTTGATCACGTAAAGTTTATTAAAAGTTGTCGGGACTAATGTATTTTAGGCACGTTCGAATTATTTAGGTGCAGGAATGTAAATTGATGAATGTCGAAGAGGTTACAGCTCTCAACAGACCTCGATATACTATTCGTTTTGATAAGACATCATAACTTTTTTTTTTTCCGCTCATGAAGATACTTATGATCTTCTCGTTATCTAGCCAGTGTAAGACTTTGACCACATAGATTTTATCGGTTCTCCTCTCTAGCTTCAACAAAAATTTAGTTTTATCGATGCTCTTTTGAGATTACCGAGCTTATCTAATGGAACTTAACCATGGTTCACTTTAGATTTACTATATTTACTTTATTAGGGATGATTTTCTATTAAACCTAAATTTGTTAAAAGGTAATTAGTAATGGTTAGTTAATACTAATTTATTAGTTAATTAGGTTATATTAAATAGTTTTTTTAAGTTTGGAGATAATAATATCTTAAAAAATTTAAAATAATGGTCAATTAATTCCGGGCATTTTAATTACTTATTTGGATAAATAGAAAGCTGAAATTATAATTTTACATAAATAAATATTCCTAACTTGAGTGATGGAGTCTTACCCTCTCACTCTCTCGAGAAGGGCTTAGTTTATAGTTGAATCATAAAATATTTTTCGTCAGAGGTTCGAGTAAAATGTACTTGATTTATTTGTAATGATTAAATTAACACACGCAACTTATCCTAGCAACGTTTGTCCCATAAGATCTACGATAAATGATTTATGCGATTTCAACGTGATCTTGAAAATGGAGTGACGGGTCGAGAATCATGTCAACATTAGCGGTTATCAAAAGGTGGTACTTAATCACCGTCCCAAGAAAACTTCAAGTTTAAATGGTCGAGATCGAAGTTGTTTCTAAGATAAATCAACATTAAAAGCATGAAAGCTTATTAATCAAGGTACTTGAGGGGTTTTGGCCAACATAATTGACACTAGACGTACTGAGATCGACATAACCTCAATGCAAACAGTGAGAGAGTTTGTTTTATTTCTTAAAGACCTTGTATGATAACCCGAGCACACGAAGTCAGCATAGGGGTACATTTGGTGGCTCATGGACTAAGTCTATGAAAAACCATTACATTTATAAGCATAGACACACCGTATTATTTAGTAACTCAAACTTTTTAAACCTAATCCAGACCATTTATAAACGGACCCTTAAACTAAATAACATTATTTATAGACTTCTTAAACTCTAATTCAAACCCTTTGAAGTAGAATCTTCACGCCGTTTGAAGGCCCCACGATCAGATTATAAGAAGGAGAATGACAATACTGAGGAGATAGCGAGAATCTAAACTTAGAAACTATAAGAGAAATTATGATCTTCAACTCAACCAATGCAAAGTTCTTCCCCAAGCACAATCGTTGACCTGCCCCAAAGGGAAGGTAGAGTTGTGGGATCTTGCAAGCCTTGGATATACCATCCGCAAACCGTTCTGGCTTGAACTCATTCGCATCTTCTCCCCATATTTCAATGTCTCTGTGTAGTGTCAGTATCGAAGTCCATATACAGACACCCTTTGGAATGACCACGTTCCCAAGTCGTACCTCATCAAGTGTCTCCCTTGCTACAAATGCGCCCGGCGGGTACAGTCGCAACGTTTCTTGAACCACCAAACTCACCTATACACATCGATTATTTCAGACACAAGGGAGAACATGTTTGGTTGTTAAAGAGAGACAGTTTACCGATTTGAGTTGAGAAATCAACGTCATGTCAAAGCGACCATCGGGGCAAGTGTGAGCAAACTCGGAGCGGATACGGTCTTGCCAATCGGGATGGAGGGCGAGGAGCATCAAGGACCAGGCGGCGGCGACGGCGGTGGTTTCATGGCCGGCGAAATACATGGTCTTGCAGTTGTCAACGATGAAGTTTTTGGAGGACTGTTTGGCTGGTAAACTTGACTCAGTCATGGCGGCCTCCATTATCAGCTGCAACAGATCCTTGTCAGACGAGGAGGTTTTGGAGCACTGTTCTCGGCGCTGTTGAACCGTCTCCCATATTGATGAGTTGATCTCCTTTTCCAGCTTTTTGATTCTTCTGTGTTTGCTTGGTTTAAAAAATTTGTCACTGTTCATCATTTTTACATTTTTTTAGTCGAGCATTATGAACTTACAAAAAGAAAAAAAATTAAGGTTATTAATGCTATTTTTGAAAGTTCATGGATATCTTAAAAAAGTGACAACGGTTTTATCTACGTTTCCATACATATATTAACGCTAAGGATATTCTTGAACTTTCAAAATATGTTTAAAGGCGTCAAACGATAACGATAACAACAATAACATAACAATAATGATATCAAACGAACCTTAAAGGAATGGAACCAACTAGAATGCTCTCCTCGGAAAGCAACTTCTGAAGATCCCTAATCTTCGTGAAAATCTCTTTCCCCTTCTCATACGAGCTCCCAAAGCAAGCTCTAGCTATCACGTCGGCCGAGTATTCTTTGAGATCCCCATCCACTTCAATCTCCACCATGGATCCATCTCCGATCCTCGCCTCCCATTTCTCTATCAAGGATGACCCCGCCTTAGCCATCAGTGCCACCATGCCTTGGACCCGGTCCATGAAGAACTCGGGGGCGATGATCTTGCGCTGCAGCACCCAAAGGGAGCCGTTGGTGGTGGTGATGCCGTGGCCAAAGAGGGGAGCGTTCCTTTTGTTGATGAACAAGGGCTTGCCCAAGTTGAGATTGTTGAAGAGTGTCAAGTCCTTCACTATCTCCACCTTGGTGGTGTACAAATGCTGCTTCGTCCGGGTCGAGTATGTGTATAATGGACCTATCAAACAAAAAATTTTAATTTCTATTTGTAATAGTCCAAGCCTACCGCTAGCAAATACCGTCAATTTTGACCCGTTATGTATAAACGTTAACATCACGATTTTTAAAACGTGTCTGCTAGAGATAAATTTTCACATTCTAATTTATAGAGGTGTTCAAAAAATTCAAGAACCTGAAAAGCTCGATCAACCCAATTCAACCCATATGATTATGAACTTATTTAAGTCGTTCAAATAAATGAAAATTTTATAATTTTGAACTAGTTTATATTAGAACAACCTGAATCAACTGAATCAACTTAAACGGAGTTGGAATTAGCCAATACCATATTGCTTCCTCCACTTAACTAAACAAGGGAAGAGGGTGGATGTATAATCATGAGCTACAATCGCCGACGCATGACGCGGCGGAGAAGCCATAGCCGCTGCCTCCAACTGGATCTTCTTCATCTCCGGCAAGTTACCAAACAGAACCGACGGTGGCGGACCCATCACGCCCTGTTCTCGCAGCTTCCTCCTCAGCTCCGCCGTCTTCCTCCATGCACTATTGAAGTACAAATGGACCAACACCGCCACCACCGCCACCGCAATCGCGGCCGGGAAAACCGACACGAAACCACTAATTACAGCCCCCTCCATGGCAATCCAAAACTTAAGCTTTCTTATGATCTTCCCTCTTGTAATTTTCGGGGTATTATATAGAGGAAAAAAAAATACTTAATAGACGAAGAGATCGAAACTATTTTTATCATACTATAAAAGGAATTAATGAAACATTAAAAAAAATGTCACAATTATAAATATACTATAAATAATAATAGACATCATAAAATTGAGACATCCACATTTTATTTACATTAATATTTATTCATTTTAATTTAGAATTTTTAAATGAAATATCGAATGGATTAAGATAAAAAAAAAATTGAGTACTCATGTTAGATGTCTATAACACATTGACGATTAATTAGTGCTAATATAGTATTAATGATAGCTTAAGACGTTTCATTGTATTTTAGGTTAGTGATTTGATAAACTTCCTCTTTTTAATAGCCGATTATTTAGGCTAATTATTGGTGAACTCTATCTTTTATAAGTAAGAGTGTACGAGTTTAGAAATTTTGATTTTAATTACGTAAAGTTTTATTTAAAGTTATGAGGACTAATGTATTTTAGGTACCGTTCGAGTTACTTAAGTGCATAAAAGTAAATTAATGAATGTCAAGAATTAGGTAATTATTTGTTAGAGATTACAGCGCTCAACAAATCTCAACAATAATATCATATTGTCGGTCTCATAAGACTTCATGACTTTTTTTTTTTTACTTAAAAATATCTTATGCTAATGAAGATATTTATGATCTTCTCATTATTTAGTCAATGTGAGACTTTGACCACACAGGTCTTATTTGTTCTCCTCTCGAGCTTGAGCAAGAGTTTGGTTTTATCGATACTCTTTTGGGATTACCAAGGTTATCTAATTAAACTTAACCATGGTTTAGTTTGATAGAGTTATTGAGGTTTACTATATTTTCTATTAAACTTAAATTTATTTAAGGTAATTAGTAATGGTTAGTTAATACTAATTTATCAGTTAATTAGGTTATATTAAATAATATTTTTAAGTCCGGAGATAATAATATCTTAAAATATTTAAAATAATAATATAATTAACGGTAACAGTTGGCGCTTGGGTTTGAAGTTTGAACTTCCAAGGGCAGAAACGTCCATATTCAACCAACCAAGAACCAACGGTCTTTAAAATGTAAATATAATTATTAATTAGCAATAATGCATGCAAATTTAGCAATCGCTTTACGACATGTCGTCCACCGTCCCCACCAATCAATTCCTTTATCATTTCTTTTCTTTCATTCATTCCTTTTTCTATATTATTGTCCTCGTTTCACTATAATATAATTTTTTTAAAATTAAGTTTCTAGATATATATATATATATATATATATATAAACACTTTTTGTTTTTAGAATTTAGACAAATAATTGAAATATATTTTAAATAAAGAGAAAATTGATGCGAATGAAATATTGACAAATAGCATGTCGGAAACATGCATAACCTAAAGTTTGAGTAAAGTTACATGCAAGAGAGGTCAAAGTCCGTTGGCTTTACTCACATGATGGTCAACTATGGTCGACCCCAACCAAAATAAAATCGAACCCTTCAAGCGTTGATAAAATTCTCCACATCAATGTATTAGGTAATTCGTCACATAACCATTTTGTTTAATAGTTAACCATCCAAGTAACATCAATATAAGAATTTCGACATATTCTTGAGGAAGTATTGAGGAGCTCCATATTTCGATGCAAAATGAGGTTTCTTTTTAAAACGAAGGTCGATTATAATTTTATTAAATTTTAAAATTAAAAAAAAATTTTAAAAATTGAGTTGGAACCTTGGATTATATAAATGTTTATTTTTTATTTTTTATTTTTAAATTATAAATTTATTATTCTCCTATTGTATGTATTTACTTTGACATAGTTATATATATATATTTCTTTTATTGAGGAAAAATATAGAAATAAATATAGTTATTAGTATTATTCTAGTCTTATTAATTCATTGAATAAACAATTTTATTCCAATTTTGAACTTAGAAACACAATAAGGTAAAGCGAAGAGGATAAAATATTCTCCTCCTTTTGACTCTCATTACATTACTTTTTAAAATGTCATAATTAAGCCATTGGGTAAAAAAAAACTTTATTCCATTAAAAAAAAAATATTCTTATTTGAAAATAAAAATAATTCAAATTTAGATTTATAATTGGTTCATTTTAACACATAATATTTTATTTTGAATTCAGAAAATCTGTATTTTAGAATATAAAATTATTTAAATTGGTTGAAGTCGGAATGATAATCGGATTTTTTTAGCAATTTTCTTATAATATTATACACGATTAGAACTATATTTTAAAAAATTTAATAATAACAAATTTAATTTTGAATTTTCTATATTTTTTTTTAATATTTGGGATAAAACCTAATTATACAGAAGTCATACGTCTTAACCACTAAATATTAAACTATATTATATAGAGATATAACAAAAATAATATGAACAAATAAGGTAATGAAAATGATGTATGATTCCCCAATGATAGCAAAAGAAAGAAAATAACAATTAATAATAATAATTAATTATTATTATTATTATTATAATAATAATAAATGGAAGCCGACAGAACTCAGCTGATGGAAGCGCGGTCGTTAGGAAGAAAACGTGGAGGAAGGAGCGTGAGAATCACGCGTTTAGTGGAATTATGAGTTTCGTAGCTTCGAAGTTTTTTTTTTTTTTTTTCTTTAAATAAAAAGAAAAAAGAAAAGGAAAAAGAAAAGGCTCTCAATGGAATTCTCAATACTTGCGATTTAAGGCTCGCAAAAGAACAGCTCCAGCTAAAGGGCCACAGATTAGGACTTCCACTGAACTACTGGACCTCAAATCTCTACTCCCCATCGCTCATTTTCTTTTTTTCCCGATAGATCTTTGCGTCTTCGCTCCACTCTGCACCTTCATCACTCTTCTGATTGCAGAATCCAGGTACCTTTTATACTTTTTTCATCAATGTACTTCAAGAATTCACCATTTGAGTGAGTTCTGGTGCGAGTAAATGCATCTGGAAGAGACTGGATATTTGTTGTTCTTTTGTTTTGATGAGATTCTCTATCTGTACTTTGTAATTCTCGTGAATTGTTGGATTTTCCAGTGATTTTCCAGATCTGGGAGAACTGAGTTTTGTTTATGAATCTGGAATTTGCAAATTCGTCTTCTGAGTTGGATTTGTTCCTTTTTTAGTCTAATGATTGTATGTTTGTGTCCTTATGGTAATTTTGATGAGCTGTTTTTTAAATTTGTGTTGCTTGTGATATTGAACTCAGGTGATTGCAATGAGTGGTGGAGTAGCTGATAATGCGCCTTTAGATTATGCCAGGATTCAGCTCATACCTTCTGAGGACAGGTTTTCTGTTTTCCTCCGTTTCTTTTTGAAAGAATTTATATGAGATTCTGCTTGCAAAAACATGTTCTGTCATTGTTCCATTCCTAGTCCAACTATAAAACGAAGCATGTTTCCTTGATATCTGTGCTTTTTAAGTCTAAATTCATTAGAGAAATTAATTCTTTAATCAGATTTCTTGGAAAACAGAACATTCTACTTCTTTAGTAGCTCCTTAAGTTCCTTCTTTCAAGATCGTCTTTGGTTCGATGAAATTTCTTGTTCCTGAAATTTCCCCCCTTCATGATGGGAATGAGTGTTTATAGGTATGAGGCATTTGTTTGCTGTGGCAATGAGGTAGATGCCCTGGCTGAGGGGAATTTGGATGCATTGTTGCTGCATTTACCAGATGTTCAAGAGCTTAATTCCAAAGGATCTAAGGCTAGCATTAAACTCCAACTTCCAGCTTCTTCAGCTGGTGCAACATGGTTCACAAAATCTACCTTAAGCAGGTTGTTCTAACTACATTATTTCAATGTTCAATTCCTTAAGCTGAATTGTGCATTTTTGTTGATAATTTTACTTCTCTACTCAGGTTCCTCCATGTAGTTGGCTCGCCTGAATTAACTAATATTATGAAAACAATGAACGAGATGGCTCAACTAGAAGATACCAAGAGATTTCATCTTTCATTATATGGCCAGGTAGTAGTTCATGCTATCTTTATAAGTCGTTTTCCTATAATCTTTTCTTTGCTGGTGAAAGCTAATTTATTACAATATTCTTTCCAGGGTCAGATGTCGAAGACCGAAGAAAAAGGTAATTCTCGAAATCCATTTGGGGTAATGCTTTAATATCCTTACTTAAATTGTGCTTGAAGTGCTGATGAAACTATGGTGATATACTTCGATGTGTCTTGTAAGTATTGGCTACCTCCTGTTTTGACAGATAGCTGCAACCTCGACGGCTCTAGTCTGAAACACGGGGTACTGATTTTTCTTTGATTCTTAAAAACACTTGATCACTATGACTTTGATTACTTTATTTCGTTAATTAGTTGAGTTCCTCCTTGTGTAAATGTTACTGTGTTGGCAGTCTGGACCTGAATTTGCTTCATCAGCTGCATCGAAGTAGGTTATTTGAATTCTTAATCATCTGTTTTGTTTCTTTACGTAATATCGAATTGGTTGCTCAACTGTGAACAATGTAAAATGAATTGACAGAAACGAATTGTTGCGAGCTATGGACTTGAGGCTTACAGCATTAAATAAGGAATTAACTGCAGCATTTGAAAAGGCTTACGGTGCAACCTGCAGTTCTAAAGAAATCAGTCATTTAGCGAAGTTTTCGGAACATTTTGGAGCTATAAATTTGAAGTAAGTTATCCCAAACTAACACTTCGGAGAAGTTGATAGAAGAAACTTCTTTTCAGTATGTATATTTGTTCTCATTACAGCCTCAATTTACATCTTCATGTGATCTCTTCAGGAATTGTACATACAAATATTTGGAACTTAATCCGAAGAGTGATACCGTCGAGCTCGTTAATGATGATGATAATAAGCACACCGTTACTTCGAATTTGAGCAACGAAAATGCTATTAGTATAAATGGCAGCCTTAAAGCTGAAAGATCAAATTCATCTACTCCAGTGAAATATGGTGTTTCACCTGCAAAAGTTGCCCAGATTGAGCGACAGGATTCATCAGAAACTGAGGAGTCTTCTGACTCTGATAATGAAAATGGGACACCAGCAGAAAGAAGTAGAACAATGGTACGGTCAGCGCTTTCGAGAAGGT